TGCTAATTTTTGCTGCAGTGATCTGAACAAAGCAAGATCCTAACATAAGCTCCACTTCTTATAGATGTCAACTTGGTGTATTTGGTACTTTCATAAATTTCCAATCCACATCAGGAAAAGAAACAAAATGACACCCTAGCTTTCCTACCTATTCTAAATCTCAACTTCCTGAATCGGAATATTCTTTAGATTTGAATATAAAAGCCAGAAAAGGAAAAATGAGGAGAGGGCATTAAAAATCTGCTAGTAAGTACAAAAGACATGACATAAAAATATACCTTTATTGAGACTGGCAACATTACGAACTTTAGAGCATACTATTTACAGGGAGGCAATAGGAAGCATAAATTCCTCTCAGAAAGCTTGATCCTCGGGGAGCAAAATATGCCGAATGCTTGCTACTGAGTGCTCTCCTACAGTGTCCACCAAAACCTGCTCCTTTTTAAGTCACTTTCTTGGGTACACACTCTCTTGGGTACACATACCCTGTTCCCTTCGGTACATAACACCCTGTGAGTGTCAAAGCCCAGCTCCCTTGGGTACACACACCCTCTGAGCTTCAAACCCTGTTCCCTTGGGTACCCTGTATCAAAGCCCAAGCACACTTCAACGACCCCTATGATAGGAAACTGCTGGTTTTGAACCACGGGGCAAGATCAGACGCTAGGGAACTTTTACATACTGACCTTCTAGGGCCCGAGAAGAGTGTGCTCTTCCCAGGCAGTTAGAGGCAATAACTGCATTCAGGTGCTTCCGGTCTTTTGTCTCCTAGAAATAAATAGTTTTTAGAAATCAATAAAGGGGACACAAATCTGATAGTCTATTAGATGATAAATGTCAATTATTCCCAAAGGTTTGTGACCCAGAGAGCGTTGGTAGAAATAACAGCCCCACCCTCCACATAAAGTGATTATAGTATATAAAAGTCATTGTTATTGGATAAATCTGTAAAATGGTGCCGTGCAAGAGCTGAGATCTGGGGAGCGGGCTCGGGTCTGGTGCCGTTTTGTAGCCACTGACTTTTGGACTCTTGGAGAGCAGGCTTACAGAGGTGTGTTTCCCACTGGGGCTGGGTATGCATCTCTGCCCGGCTCTTGCTCCTGAGGTGACTTTCTCCTTCACAGTAGGTGACACAGCAGCGACAGGCTGCCGAGGGCTTCCCTCGGTGCTTGGACATGATGCCCGGGACTGGCGCTGCTCCAGACACTCGCTCTAAGCTCCGGAGTTCTGGGGGCTCTTTCAAACGACTTCTCCTCTGAACATGATCCAGACTGGTGTCAGACTGAGAAGAGCAGCTCTCATTCCAGCCCGAGCTGGCGCTCAGACTTCTCAGGGGGAGAGCCAAGCGCAATGCCTTCCAGAACTTGGAGCCAGAATGTTTGGACTTCTCTCCCTTCCAGCTCACAAAAGACACAGACTCCTTCAGCTGCAGGATGCCTGGGTGGGGATGCTCCAGGGGACGGTACTCCACCACAATGAGCTTGGTGGCAATGGAGTTCTGGCACATGACGCCTAGCTTAAACTCCAGCATGCTGATGCTCTTTTCTGTCACATAGTCAGGGCTCAGGACAACAATCATCCTTCGGCTCCGCTGAATGAAATCAAACACTGCTTCCACCGTATCTACAGGGAAACGGAAAGATAGCATAGCATCTGGTAATGATGTCTTCATACCCAGTAGGTCACTGTCCAGTTCACAAAAGATGGGCATGAACAAACTTTTGCAAAAATAGAATATTGTTGCTAAGTCATGCAACCTCATCCACACCAATTTTACCGACAGTTGGGAAGAATTTGTTCCTTGTAAGAAAGAGGAGTAGCTTGAACTTAATCTCTCTCCCTACACGACACCCCCTTCAACTGCAGATGTCCTCCTCATGAAAATGTCTTTCCCCATCATAAAAATAAAGGGAATGTGAATTGGATGAACTATTTTTGAAAGCAGCTAACTCTCTCTCTGCTCATAAATTATTTCTTGTTTTAGAATTTTAATTTCCTTAAATTTTATTTAGTGGCCTTATATCAGATGTCTTCAAACTTTTGAAGTATGTAGGCAATATTGTGATGTTACTGCATTTTCTTCTTACCTCTGAATTAATTGACCTCAGGTATTTATTCTACACCAGTCATAATTTCAAGAACCCCCATCCCTTATCATATTCTCGTGAATAATAACTCAACTTGTACATATGTCTTCTAGAATAATATCTTGAATAACGATGATCATTCTTACTTCTCCAGAATGTCTGATTGGCACATTACCAAATCACCACCTCCTCAGATCCCGAGTTGCCCCCAACCCCAGTTACTTAACATTTTGGACACATAATTGGTCTCCAAGAACGAAAATTTCCTTGCTTCCTTGTTCCCTCCTTCCTGCCTTCCTTTCTTTGTTGCTTCAATATTCTTTTGCTTTTTCTTTCTCTGTGTGTATGTATGTGTGTGTGAAGAGGTGGCCTAAAGTCAATTAAAGAGCTGAGAGCCACCATAGTAGTTAAGAATCAATCAATTAAGACTTCTGGCAGAGTACTCCATTCTAATGTTTGCTGAGGGGATATGGACTGGACCCAAAGGAAGATTCTTCAAATTAATGCAGTATTTAACCCACTGTGAAATGCAGGGACTTAAGCAATGTGATCAAGAGAAAGAAATCCCACCCATGTGACTCTTAACCTCCAACAACTTTGAAAACATGTGGGAGCCAGTACTAAGGTTGCATTTGTGTTTTTCAACCCATAGGGACACTGAGAATTGGTGTTGAGTTTGATCACCATAAACCTGAGAGGAATGAGGAAGCCAGGATCCTTTCCTGACCCATTCTTTTTAATAGTGGAGTGAATTTCACTTGAATCTAAGTAAAAATTAGAAGTGTTTTTTTTTGTTCTTATATTGAAATATTTAAATTTTCAGTTCTAAAAGCCACATGTGTGTATGCATGTGTGCATGTGTGTATTTCAGTAACTCCCTTTTCCCCTTGCCCCCTACTCAGATTCTATGAACTACTTTTAATATATTAGAGAAGACTCCTGTGAGGATTCTGCTGCTTTACTTGAATCGTGAGAAACAGAAAAAAAAAAAAAAAAAAAAAAAAAACCCTTAGGACAATATGGCTGGATTTTCAACACAGGAGACATATGCAATCAAATTCCACAAGTGTATATGTAACCATATCAAAATTATTATTTTAGGAAAATCAGTGTTGTTTTCAATGGGCTGAGCATGGATAGAAGTAAAACACAGATCTTAAACATTGTCTTGTGCCGTGGAATAAAAACAAAAAAAAATCGTATCTTTCAAGAAAGTGTGGGGTTTACATTTGAAAGAGGACAAAGTAGATGTAGATCTGAGTGGTGGAAACAGACATTGACAAAGGACTGGAGCTGTCCCAAGATGGGGTTTCTCCTGTGCTTTGTTATTGGCTTCATACTTTAGAAACAATCAGTTTCCTTTTATGCTATTTAAAACACCTCCCAGATTTTCAAAACTTCATATTTGAAGATGAGGGTGATCATTTAGGATGCTAGAGTTTGTATGGAGCTGTAATGAATCTGGTGATTTCATGTTTGGCTCATGGTTCTGATCCAGACCTCTATAATCCTTAAGGAAAAGCATGCCTTGGAAGTCATATTCATGTAAAAAAAATTCCCCAAAACTATGACTCTGACATTTTCCCTTTGCTAGGATTTTTGTAGAAGAATCTTACCTCTCACACTATGTCTTTCTTTCCCTTAAAAAAAAAAAAAAAAAAAAGAGCAACATCGGAGAGCCATCTTAATTCAAATCCTTATTTTTCCTTGATCTCATTTTTTTTATATCTTATTGCCTTTGCATCTGAGTGTATTCTTCTTCTACAAAACGCATATGATAAAAGTAGAGGTGGAGGGCCATAACACAATCTAGCAATGGGCTAAGAGATTGTGTTAGTAGCAATTGTGTTTCTCTGCAGCTGTTTACTAAATGCATGGAAAATTTAAACCCTATTACTGTCATGAATTTACTAAGTTCATATTCTAAAGCTAGTATCAAGAATTGATAAAATTCAATAAACATATCAGATAATTTTATAATTTGCCTGAGACACACAAATCAGAGCTGGTAAGATGAATCAGCAGGTGAAGGTGCCTGTCAATCTGAATTTGATTCCTGGGCAGAACATGAGAACTGACTAGGACACCCCCCCACACACACACACAGGGATAGAAATTAAATACATAACAATTGAAGTTTTAAATCCTTAAAGAGAAACCTAAGATTAGCAGCTGAGCATGTCTTTCATTCCATGTTGCACACTGAGCTTGCATTAAAAATCTAGTTAGTGGTGTATGCAACTGGATGAAGAAATTGTCTTGGGAAACATAATTAGGCAAGTGGTAGCCAGATTGATGACACCAATGCAATGAATGCCATTACTAATTGTTCTAAATGGTCACCATTGAAGGGTGAAATAACTTAAGATCAGTTACCACTTACCCAATGTAAAACATCCACAAACAAAATGAAATACAATGTATATTTCCCATAATGGGGGATTCCATATGTCCACAGTAGAGAATTTTGTTGTCATTCAACCCTGCCTGGCAGTTATTACCTGAGTAGAAACCTGTGTCCTCAAGACTTTGGCCAGTGCATCCTGGCTCCATCCTTTTGTGACGGGCAAGAGTTGCCTGTACTTTAGTAGCATTTGAAGCAGAAACAAGAGAATAGCTATGGTTTTGTTTTAAAGTGATAACTAAGTGTGACTTCTGCCTCCCCTTCCCCCATATCCCCATCCTAATATATTGGACTATCCATTTTACTTAAGCAATTTTTTTACTCATATGAAGGAAGTATTCTTGAGACAAAGTTCACTTTTTTTCTCAGACATCTTTCTTATTCCTCAATAAATATTTAACTATTATAACTTGATTCATTTCTTTTTGTAAGCACAATTGCTCTTTTTACTCTTATTTCTCAAGCCCGAACATGAACATAAGGACACAAAACACATGTACAAAATAAAATTCAAAGGTGAAAATAAATGGTTTATTGTAAAAAATATGTAAATATACAAATCAAATGAAAATGGAAAATACAAATGTTTATGAATAAAATTAAAAAGACGGTCTTAAAGTACTAAAACCTATGGAAACAGATGCGTAAGTAACAAGTGGAGTGATGTTTTGTTTCCCAGTATAAGACAATATTTTTTATTAGAATCCCAGGGACTCATCTAAGGTACAAAAGAGAATTAAATAAATCACATGTGGCTGTGTAAGTAGACACTCTATACACATGATTCTTGGTGCAGAAGTTCCCTTTATCATAAATCTAAGACTATGGGGGATTTTTTTTTCAAAAGAGCCATAATGTGTTTTCTTGTCCTCTGGAATACAAGTGTGTGATCCCCTCCTCCCTCTTCTGTTCTGTAAGGAGCATCTTCTGAAATGCAGACAAGAGTCTTGGAGTTAAGTTCACTTAGGATGGGATACATTATTTAGATTCGCTATGCTTTATACTATAGCACTGGAGTAGGCTCGGTATAATAAAGAGGGATATAAATAGAAAACTATGGAGGCATTTCTGGGGTCATAGAATAGCAGTTGGGATGAATGTGGAGTCCAACAGTGCAAATACTACACAGTGCAGAGAATGGCCTGTGGTGAGGAGCTTGACCCTTGCTGGCCTACAGCTCATGGCAGAAGTAGCACACAAAGCTTATCTGGAGCCAGCTTTTGTCTGGTACTGTGATTAAAAGGTTATTGGTGGAAATGCTAATTATTTGAAATAACGAAAAGTATTAACCTTTTTAAAATGTTAGATGCAAGAATGACTACATATTATAGTGGTATGTCAAGGATTCACAGGGAACTCTTTTCAATGTAGAGTAATTAATAATTCTAGAACAAAGCAATGATTTATTGTGGACAACATTACTGATGAACACTTTACAGTAAGAGATAATTTTAGAATTGTTTGTTAACATTAACACAACTTGAATAAAGTGTTCCTTAAATTATGACTGATGTTTCATAGCATACTCAGACTCACTTATAGCTGTATCTGTTTTTCCTCATCACTCAACAGTCCACACAGCTGAGCACCTAGATTAACATAACTTAGACTCTAAATGTGTCTGCAGGAAATATAGTAGAAAATCAACTAATATCAGGTGACTGTCTGCTATTGAGCCTTGACAATGGGATGTCCATGGACAAGGGATACCCCTGCAACCCAAATCAACTGTAGAAACAGCAAGTCATTTATAGCAATCCAGTGGAAGCAAGAACTTTGATAACTATATGCAGAGAAGCAAGAATTCACAGCAGAACAGTAATGGAATGAAAACACCAACACAAAACCATTACGCTATAAACATAACTTTAAAAGTGGACAAGAATTCTACTGGCTGTTAATATTGTACCGATGGGTATTTAAAGGTGTACGTGTGTGATTATGTATAGCCCCAAATACACACACACAGATAATTTATAGTCAAGTGGATATACACACATACACATAATTTGTGATAATTTTATATACATACACACATAAAATTCACATGTACAGAGATCATATATGTGTATATGTATACATATATGTATACACACATGTTAGACATGATGTAGAAACTGGCCACTCCAAAGGTAAATGTTGTACTTAGTTTTTACTTTTACCATCCTGAGGAATAGTAAAATTCTGCTTAAAACTGATAAAACCCAGTTACATCAACAGTGGCTTTCAGAGTGATTCATTTGGAACAAGGTACTCGTGAATAAATTATTGGAAGTGGTCATTCTTTTAGAATAGTAATGCCAAAAGGAAAATCACCACCTCTGGACTCCACTTCATAATGAAGAGGTGGGAATGAGTGAGGATTAACCACTTTCCTAGTTTTTCACATTAGTAAGGTTGGAATTAAAAGACAAATTACAAGCATCCTGTTAGGTGCTCTCTTCTGGTGTCAAAACGCCCTGAGAGCATTTTGATGTTTTCTCACTTTCCATTAGCACCATTAAAAGCTTGGTGCCACCTGTGAAGTGTGGATGACGGATACAATAGGTAGTGAGATGCAATGATGAGTATGGAGCTAGCTATCTGTGTACCGTTGAGAAGTTACTATAGTAAAACAAAAGCCATACCTTTTTCAAGTTTATAAATATGACATCCATTACCTGAGATGAGGGCAAATGTGATTTAGTAGCAGGGAAGCAGTAAACCACTTAATCAGTCATGAGGAACAGCTGTAGTTTGACTGTTCATCTTGCTGAGGTGGTGGATCCCATACACAAATGAGCAAAGGAGTGAAGTATCCCCAGTTGAAATATATTTAATGCCTGATTATATGTCTAATGGACAACTGAAAATAAAATAAAATTCAAGGAAAATCCAACTGAGAAGCAGGTAATATTTCTGTCAGCAGGTAACATACCTTTAGAGGAGTTTCGAGTCAATGGGCAAAGTGGCTCCATAGTGGTGAAATTTTTACAAAGAGATTAAAATAGAGGGAGTAACGGAAATGGAGGATGTATTGGACACATCTTTACTTGCAAAGATCATAATGGCTTTAGAACTGCTGACAGACCACAGAGAACATCACTCTAACTCTTAGGATTGCCCGAGAAGCAGAACAGCCAGCCATACAGTCCCTAGGATGTTTTTGTATGAGGGCTTAGACAGGATTCTTTTTTTTTTTCCTATGAAACCACAGCCTGGGAGGAAAGAAGGGGGCTCTTCCTTCCATGAGCCCATTTGTTCTTTTTACTCCTTCATTTACCCTCTCATACATTTTTCAGGGATGAATAGGATAGACCCTGCTTGTCACTGCTAGACCACCTGGGGCTCTTCTTCACTGGCATGGCCACCTGTAGCTGCTTCCAGAACCTGCCCTGTGGATACTTGGATTTCTCCCCCTTCCATTTAATGACCGTGAGCACCGTCTTAGCCCTCTTCAGCTCTTTCACCTTCATGTCCTTCACAGCTTTGTACTGTACTAAAATGACGTTGATGTTGCCCCGGGAGGCCATATTTTCTAGGCCCGCCTTGAGCTCCAGGAGGGCTTGTGTTCCCTGGAGTACGTAGTTAGGGCTTAGGACAACCAGGAGGCGTCTGCTTTTCTGAATGAAGCTCAAGGTCTCATCTGTGACAACTGGGAAAGAAAACACCATGGGGATTAGTGTTGGCCAGATGCACAGAGCTCAAAGAGCAAAGGCAGGGAGGGAACTGGGAATGACTGCCTGAGAATCAAGGCTGTACCATGCTCAGCAGAAACAGTCTGAGCAACTTCATCTTTAATTCAAATATACTGACTGCTGCATGTCACTCTGCTCAGGGAAAATGGAGTTATGTATAGATGTCCACACCCAAAACATTTCCAAATAAGCTGAAGCCAAAATATGGAGCGCTGTTGTCACCCAGTCCTCAAAAGCACCCTTTGAACAAGATGGAATAGATACATTGTAGTGACTGACATCAGTTTCCTCAAATAGTGTTGTGGCCCAGCCAAACCGAGTCCTGAAAGGTACCCCAAAACAAGCCATCATATGAAAAGCATTAAAAATCATGTACTACACATAAAAAGCCCTCAAGTTTCAGGAGCAGAGAATGTGGAGTCTGTCTGCTGATGTGTGTTGTGGGATAGAATAATTGTTTAACTATGTAAGATGTGTTGCACTTGTTTATGCTGAATTTGCTTAACTATGTAAAGATGTGTTGCTGTTTCACCTTGCCTGCCTAAGACACCTGATTAGTCTAATAAAAAGCTGATTGGCCAACAGCGAGGCAGAGAAGGGATAGGTGGGGCTGGTGAGCAGAGAGAAAAGTGGAGCCAGCCAGACATAGAGGAAGCAGAAAAGCAGGATGAACGTAAAGGGTAGGTGAGGTAAATAAGCCTCGGGGTGGCACATAAATTAATAGAAATTGGTTAATTCAAGTTAAAGAAAAAAAAACTAGCTGGAAACAAGCCTTAATCTAGGGCCAAGCATTCATAATTAATAACAAGTTTCTCTGTCATGATTTGGGGGCTCCAGATGTGTACTTTCCTGATGCCAGCTGATGTCACAATGTTGCTGGATTAGTAACTCAAACAAATGGCATTTTGGCCAGGGGTGTGTTCCCACATCAGCTCCTTCCTTTTCTCTGGGGTAGAGAAGAAAGTGGGAACATGGATCTTTCCCCATACCCTCCAGTCACTGGGAAGCCCTTCTTCAGCAACAGGGAGCTGATGTATTTCCACTCACTAACTTGCAAATGATTTCTCCAGAGTTGAAAAAAAAAAACCAAAAACAAAACAAAGTGGGGAAGATGGAAATGCAGCCTAATTTTATTCAAGAACTCTGATTAATTCCTGCTGCTAAATTCTTGGGACTAATCTATCTCCTCACAGATGCTCAAGGAGACCCACATAATCCTTCACCTGGAGGAGCAATGCTCGATGCTCGAAGCTCCAGGCAGTGCACTGGTGGTGTGGAAACCTGTATCACATCCCCCTCTGCAGTCATTTCCATTCTTAATCTTCACAGGTGCAGAAGTAATAGGGAAGGATTTGCCAATTAAAATCTAACATGTGCAGCCTGGGGGAGAATCCAGGAATGGGTATGTGTTTATTCTAAGCACTGACACTAGAGGCTGACCATGTGTAAGCATAGAAAGAGGTCCAGGAGCAAAGTGGCTCCAGGAAGAGCTTCAGGAGAAATGCAAAGAGAACCCCCCAGCAATTTGAAGGGATAATTGTGCATTCTTCAAACGTCTGTCTGCCCCCAGTGGAAGGACTTACCCAGATGGATATTGTGCATCTTTTCATCACTTTCCACTTAGTAGATATGGTATTTTGATCAGCTTTGTGAATGAATGCATGCATGAGTTGGGCAAATTAAGTATGAATATGAGTAGGATTTTGCCTTTAACAAAATGATCATTTCATGACATAATGACACTGAAGGAGAGATCTTCTGTAGAACAAAACCACAGGCTTGGGGTGATGCCTGGGCAGATACGATAATCCATCTACTAACTCAAAATGAGAAGAAAAGTGTTGCAGGTACCAATTACCCACACATTTCAAAACCATATAAAACAAACTGTTACTGTGACCAGATTTCTAAAGCAGGGAAAAGAACTTGCTATGCTCCAGATGGGAGGCAGTACACTCATTCAGATAGGAGAGGGTTATAGGAGACTGAACAGTGTTGACATGCTTGCTACAAAACTCCCAAATGAACCATGACTTTGTCTGTTACTGTTTGGACTTGAAAAGAGGAAGCGTTGATTTTTAAATATTCAATAGTTGAAGTTTTTCCTTATAAAACTTGCTAGAATGCAATGGCCTTGCGCATTTTAAACTCAAACTTAAACATACACACTGATGGAAAAGGAAATACAAACAATGAAAAGGCAGATTTGACTGGCAGGATTTGTGGGCTCAGGAGCGAGGATACGAGGAGAACGTGGCAGAGGGCATGTTGAATTAACTGGGAAATGCTCTATGCTCTTTGTCCTGCCATTCTGTTCCAGTTAAATGGAGTGAATGTCAGTCTTCATAGAGACGCATTCATTTTCTATGCTTGCTCTTTGTAAAAGAAATAAAGGAAAACTAATGCACGTCACCCAGTGCTTCTTGAAAATGTAACTTCTTCAGGGCTAGCTCTTTTCTGACATGGGATTCTTAAAGATTGCAAGGGAAAAACTTTTAAGCCATGAACTAGGCTGAACAATGTCTGCCTTATAACATGGCTGTATCTCTGGAGAAGTCTCTATTATTGAAGGCATTGTATGTACTATATCTGAATAGCCTTCCTGTGCTACATGTCATTCATGCACCAAAAGCCCAGGACCTACTTTGCCCTTCAGAGCTGTACCCTCTGTGCTCATGTGAGATACCTACTTCCCCCAGGCAGGCTGTCTCTGTCAAAGATGCACAGCTTGTATCCAAATTCATTCTCCAAAACACCACGGAGCGTCAGCAACACAAACTCCTCTTCTTCAGCATTTCTTGCATAGGAAACATAAATGTCATATTCCTTTCCATCTAGCAAAAGGAACACAGAGCCAAAGGAAATTAGAATAACTTCTCAAATTGTGGTTCTTTTTTCTTAAATCTAACTTCTGGCTGTTGGACATTTTAATTTTTTCCCATTTGTGAACAATTTGTGTCCATTTGTGATAGATGTCAGTGTACATTTCTGGTTTTAACAGTATTCAGGAAGAGTGGACATGGGGATTCAGATTGCAAGGAATTCAGATTGCTCATCTTAGGGAGCAGCCCTTGTAGTGGGCAAAGACTGTCCCATGAACTACAGGAGCAGGGGTGTACACCAGAGGTGCTGGGAGCTAATGCCAGGCAGGAAATTTCTACTCAGTGTTCTAGAAAACTATTCATTAATATATTAGAATTCTGAATTGAGAGACTTTTTGAGACTGACTAAATTATACCCGAAAAGGACTAAAATTAATTTATGTTAGGATCAATATATTGATCTTTCCTAAATTTGCTTAATAAAATTCATGAGTTATTAGAAATATAGATTATGTGTTTCTTCCCAAGGCCTGCTGAATTAGAATCTCATGGGATTGGCTGTTTCTTCTTTTCCTGTATAGTACAGATTCAAATGTCTCATTCATACTGCCAAGAAAATTTCTGACAGGAATACACATTGGAAAGATTTTCAATAGTGAGAATAAGGTAAACAACACACTCTAATAATGTACACTTGGGACAGCTGGGGGTATTGCTAAAGTGTGGGCTCTGGTTCTGGAGGAGTCATGTTTTAGATTCTCCACCTCAAATGCTTTTGGATGTTCATGATGCTGCTGGTCCATGGGTCTTCCCTTGTAGCTTGTGAACCCACAGCTGGATGTGGAGGCACATGCCAGCAAACTGAGCACTTAGGATTGAGGTCAGTCTAGACAATGAGACACTGTGTCAAAACACAAAGGACAAACAAAGCAAAACAAAAGGCTGCGAACCTGCACTGTCCTATCCAGTAACCAAGAATCACATGTGTCTGTTGACCATCTGAATGCAGCTGTCTCTACTAAGATGTGCCATGAGTGCAAAGTAGCATTGTGCATTTAAAGGCTGCAAAACATCTCATTAACTTTTTAATGTCATTTTTATGCTGAAATAACAATGTCTGAATATTGGGTCAAATCCTTATTTTCGCTTAGGCCCTTTGAAACACTGAGGGGGGATGTTGATTTCATATGTAATGGACAGTACAATTTTTATATGGACAATGCTAATCTAGATTAAACCACATCTCCATCAAGAACGGTAAACAGTGTAGACTGGAAAAGATTTCTACTAGTAACATAGTAACTAAGAGTTAATTTTTAAAATGCAGCGATTCATCTGCTAAGGAAACACATTGTCTAAAGATGATGGTACAAGAGATTTGCATCATACTGCCATTACTTACCAAGGATTGTTTCATCTGTTCCAAAATGAGCCCGGTAAAAGAGGACCATTTCCAGCCAGTAAACATGGTAGACCACAATCAGAACCACCACCAGAAAGACGGTGGCTCCAAAACCGCAGGCAAGTTCCACTGTGTACCTTGGTGGTATTACTAGAGCAAATGACAAAATAATGAGGATAATGATAATTAACTTCCACTCAGTGATCACAGTGACCCACCATCATCTTCATGGCTGGATCAGCCAAACAGCTAAGTCAGGCACTTGACTTGTAAATGGTAACAAGCAGAAACAAGGTGATAACACATTAGGCTTTAAGAAAAAATACTAGATTGCATCCTATTTATTTACTCTTTGTTGTTGTTTATAGTCCCTGTCACAGGAAGTGCTTTAAATTACTCAGTGATTTAAATAGATCCTAAAAGTATACAAAATAAAGTAGATTGGGAAGGATTTCCAGGAAACTCAACACAGGGCCTTGTGCATGCTAGCCAAGCTCTACCACTGAACTCTATCCCCAGCCATACATAAACTGAGAAGGTCTTGCTATATGACTCAAACCCACCAACTTCCTGCCTCTGCCTCCTGTGTCCTGAGACTGCAGCAAGGTGCCACAATTGCAGGTCAATGATAGTCTTGAAAGTGGTGTATCCAGGGACTCATCATTTCTTGCAGTGTTCCCCCAAGAGTCCTCCCTGAAGAGAGGCCCATAATCAGAGGAGGTAACTTGAGCAAAATCTTACTGAGTCTATTAATGTTGACTTCATCCTCATTATAACACCAGCATCAGAGAAATTCAATTCCTCTCTCTTATTTTAAAGAGGCTTCAAACTAGTATTTTCATTGGGTTTTGGTGAATCTACAGAATGGTGAGTGGTATTTGTTTTTAGTTTTCCCCAAGCTCACAGTGCTGTGACAAATACTTCAAAGACTGACTTGAACTATCTGAGATTAGACTGTTCCCTTGTTATCTACTTACTTTTTTACTGTGTGGATATCATAGGCAGGCTTTATGGAAGTACCAGAAATATAGTTCGACAATTCCCAATTTATTAAAATCTAGATATTAATTCGGAAACCCTGTCTACACTGCCTATTATTCTAACCAAGTCTCTGGTCACTGTCCCATCTCCTGTACACTGTCCTTGTTTCAAAGGTATCAGGAAAAGCAAACATCATGCTGTGATCATAGCATAACTTCTGGACTGAGTATGTCTTTCCTTTAATTTCCAAGTTCATTTGCATATGTCTTTATTTTGCATAATATTTCACCAATAAAGCTGTTTTTTTTCAGCCTGAGATTTGTCTATAGAAATACCTTTTCTTTTTTATGATTTTATTTTAGCAATTTTATTGAACCTTAGTCACTCCTTTCCACTCACTGCTAAACTAGGCCTCCATACCCTCCCAGGTGGAACCCTTTTCTGCCCATCCTGTCCCTGGAGCACCTGGGATCTCAACAAACTTTCCCAGAAGCTGCACTTCCTCTTTCAGGATAATAAAAGAAGCCCAAAGCTACACTCAATGGCAGAAACATCATTTGCTTGCTATATTGGTTGTGGCACTGCAACTGAAGACTTGGAGGAAGAAACACAATAATTTGCTGGAAATGAAGCAGGGGTGAGTATTGGCTGGCTTGATAATGCCTTTCCTGGCATGTATGTGCCAGATGCTTGGGGGACTGACAGAAAGGCTAAAAATCTAATACCGAGGAAGCCCAGAAACAAGGGAATAATTCGTTTGATTAGTTTAAAAATTGTCACCAATGTTTGGAAAAGGCCAGGTCATGTGATGGGGTGACAAACCTGGGGCAGGTGGAGTAAGGCTGGGGCAGGGGAGGTCTAAGAGCAGAGAGACTAAGATGCTTCCGTGAGTGACTAAACACAATAGGCACTGAACATCTGCTGAGATGAGATGTGGGAGAATATCCTCCAGAGCAGGGCTGCTATCCAGGTTCTCTTAAAAATACACAGGTCGTTGTGGAATGCTGCTATCCTGTTAGATTATTGATCATATGCCAGGGGCAGTGGCCTGGAGGACTTTTAAAATGACATTTATCACAATGAAAACATAGTAAGCAGGCTGGAGCTGAGTCCAAAGTTCTCAAACTTAGTGGTTAAATCCTGGACTTTCAAGTTCGTCAACCAGAATTCAGTGTGTTGCATATCTAGTGCAGGACAACTCTGGAATTGACCATTCAGCCTTATACTCGAATGCTGGGGTCCCAGGATCATGGTCCTTTAAATGGGTGAGTGTTTTCCCAGATATTAATAGAGGTCTTGCTTAATGACCAAAAGATCAATTACCCATCAGTTTCTCTCTGCCGCTCTCATATTCCTACTGGCTCTTTACTTTTAATAGGGCTTTTCAATCTTGTTTTGTATCACTGATGATTGGATCATATTTACAGATTATGTTTTCTGGTATTATATTGCTATTAAAGCTTCCCTAACATTACCCCCAAATTAATAAGCCACCAGGCTGCTTTTCTAAATGGCTGCAATTCTTAAGGGGTATCTTGTAAATCAGAGTAACCTAACAGGGACCCTTGGCCTATATTTGTGTCCTTCCCACTGCAAGTCTTGGCATTTGACATAACAATTTTGCACTGATGCAATTTCAGACAAAATGGTTTCCAATCAGAAATGAGTGATGCAATCTGACCACACTGGACTCCTGAACTCCCTCTCTCAATAATTCACTAAGTCGGAATTAGAATGTAGCCAAATGCCCCCATTTGCTTATTGTTACTCCCCAAATCAGAATTCACTTTGCAGTTCTGTATTATAAATTGTCCCTGAAGCCCGTGTACCCAGGCAGTCATCATTGTTAAAAAAAAAAAATGTGGGTCCCCAGTATTAGTCCTGTCCCCTGCTTTGGGTTCTGGCTCTACAATAATTTTTGTCCTTGGCAACCCATACTATTATCTCCATTGTTGTAGCTGGGCTTGCAATCTACTGAGTTCTCCCTCTGAATGCCTGGTGCCTGGACTGTCAATTGTCCCCTGCCACAGAGCCCACAGTTACTTGGTACTAAATTGTGTATAAGTTTTAAAATTGTGGTGATGACATTTTGCCGAAATGTTCACAAAAGTGTGTTTCATTTAAGTGATGTCAAAACAGAGAATGGTGAGTTGATCTGCAAATCTGATGGGTTCAGGACTGAAGCTACACCCTCTGGCCTCTGGACCTCACCTTTAGTACCTAAAGAAGTAAATGATAATGAACTAACCTGCAGAATACCTAAAACAATGGCTTTTTGGCTTCTCACTGTTGGAGAACTGGTAAAAGAAAGGTAAGCCCATGGTCATTATGTCTTTTTTCTTTCTAATAATTACCAAGAATATTTTTTAGATTTTGGTACAGAAAGAAAAGTCATAAGAAGACAGTGGTTGCTCTGAGCTATGGAGAAAAATGAGAGCTGAGACTATAGTGTCAGGTTGAATGTCAAAGACTAAGTAATGGCAACAAGAGAGTTGAGTAGAAAATAAATTCTTGAAATCTGCATGAGGTTGTTTTCAGTCTGTGGCCAAATGCAAAGCTGTGAATACCTGGTCTTGTGCTTACAATGTCTTATAAAGAGCCTCTAGGAAATGAACAACTGTAGAAGCACACACAGATCTAAGGGTCCAGCACTAGAGTGAAGAAACAGTGGCTATCTTGTGATGCCAAAGTGGCTGAGCCTAAGAAGTATGTGCACTCAGCCCTACTGAAAAGGGTATTTCTAACTACTCTAACACATGTGATCAAGATAATCCCAGAAGAAATAAGAGAAGGCAGGAAAGGAGAGGACATCTATAATGTAAACAAATTAACCACCTGCTACAATAAAACTCATCTTTCTGGAAAAATACATCCTATGGCATAACATCTGTCATGCTCAGAATAATGATAAACACTAGATATCAGAAAAATAAAAGGGTCAATATTCAAAAGACATATCACCAAGTAAAATAGAATCCAGAATTGGCAGAGGTGATCTAATGAATAGCTAAGCACTTTAAAATTCATCTTCAAATGTGTCTGCTGAGGTGTTATTTTTTTTAAGTGAACTCTTGTGAAGAGTAAATAAGAAATATCAGTGGAGACACCCCAGTGAAGCAGAAATTCAAAACATGAAAAATATATTTTTGAAAAGGCATACGAGTCATTTATCACAACACAAACCACCAGAGACTCCCTAGGCTCTGAAACAATTGTAAGTTAATGGTACACAGAAAACATGCCTATACATGACAACCTAGGAGAGCAAGGAAGTACCCTTGAGGACAACTTCAAAAGCTGACACAAGAAAACACAATCTTGAGGGAAAAGAATAAAAAAAGGAAACGAAGAAAATTTGTGATAATTAGTGAATTTGGGAAGAGTAGCTTAAGGTAAGCACATAAAAATCATTAATTGCATGACTATGCTTTCTAACAAACAATTAGAAAACAAAAATACTGACAAGATAAAAATTAAAATCTTCAGAGACAAATTTGATAATATGTAATAAAAACCTGTATACTCAAATATTTTTAATTGATGAAATAAATTACTATGACTCTATATAAATGGAGAGGTCCATCATCTTTATGGATTGGTAGAACCAATATTATTAAGTCTTCAATATTACTCACAAATCTAATATAGTCTCAATTAAAATCCCAGAAGAGTTTTATGTAGAAATTGACAATCTAGTACAAAAATATGTGAGGAAAATGTGTATTTTTGAAAATAGTGAAATTACCTTAAAAATAGAAGAGGGAACAAAGTATCATATTTAATAATTTCAAGCTATATTCATAAAAATGGTGTTGCACTAAACACAGACAAGTTGGTTAAAAGAACAGAGTAAGAATGCAGGAAGTCATAGCGATACTTGAATTTTTTTTCTTTTTTCTTTCTTTTTTTTTTTTTTGTTTTGTCAAGACAGGGTTTTTCTGTGTAGCTTTGGAGCTTATCCTGGCACTCGCTCTGGAGACCGGGCTGGCCTCGAACCCACAAAAATCCCCCTGCCTCTGCCTCCTGAGTGCTGGGATTAAAGGCCTGCACCACCTTCTTTCTGCATTATACTTGAATTTTTTTTCTTTTTTCTTTCTTTTTTTTTTTTTTGTTTTGTCAAGACAGGGTTTTTCTGTGTAGCTTTGGAGCTTATCCTGGCACTCGCTCTG